ACCACCTCGGAACCACGTCCTGCACAGACAGACTGACCGTGACTCTGGCATGCAGGGACGCGTTTCCTCCTCGCTCGCAACCGACCTTCCCTCACCTAGCCCGCTTTGATTGCTCTGGTTCATTTCATAGCAAAACAGAGTTGATTCGGGGGTCCCTCGATAAATTCGCAATCGTTCACTCAGCGCTGGGCCTCGGGTTGAGTTTTATGTCATTATCAATGGCTGTCACCAAACGGCGTGGGACGCTGACTCCCACTCACCCCTCCACTCTCCACTCTCACCTCCAGCCTCCACCCAGGCCTTCGCTAGAGGTGTTCTTAGCTCTCGTGTGCTGGGTGAGGATTCTGTTTTCGAATCCTGAGCCACCTGCTGCAACCCACCTGCTACAAGCCTCTCCGAGGTTCCCTTCGGCTGGGAAAAGCAACACTGTCCCCAGACATCTGCAGCTCCTGGGTTGTCGTCTAGCTATTTCCTCCGCATAGAGACTAACAAAATTAGTACGGCTCGGGAAATTAATGACAGGCCCTGAAAGCTCAGAGAGTTCCAAGAAGCCCAAAGCCTTTCTCCCTAAGGCTATAAAGGCTGTTGTTAGCCATTGCTGGCCAGAAGAAAGAGACTCTGGTGGGGCTGCCTGTCAAGTACAGCAGGGCGCTCCTGGGATGAAACCTTCGTGAGTCACTCACTGTCCATGCTGGGGTGGGCTTTTCGGAGATGTAGCTGCTTTTGAATCACCTATACTCCCGCAAATAATCCTCCACCCAGAATCCTGGAAGTAATCCCCATAAACGCATGGGTTCGCTGTCTTAGGGTTTCTATCGCTGGAGAAAAAACACCATAACCAAAAAGTAACTTGGGGAGGAAAGGGTTTATTCCGTTTACACTTCCACAGCACTGCTCATTATTGAAGGAAGAGGAACTCAAAAAGGGCAGGAACCTGGAAGCAGGACCTGATGCAGAGGCCGTGGAAGAGTGCTGCTTACAGGCTTGCTTCCCGTGGTTTGCTCAGTCCGCTTTCTAACAGAACCCAGGACCAGCAGTCCATGGATGGCACCACCCACAACGGGCCTAATCAATAACTAACTAGGAAAATGCCTTACAGCCAGATCTTTATGAAGGAATTTTCTCAATTAAGGTTCCCTCCTTTCAGATAACTCTCCTTTGCGGGTCAAGTTGACACAAGCCTAGCCAGTGTGTTCGCCGTGCTAGACATAAGTAGAACCTTTTTTGTTTTTGTTTGTTCGTTCTTTCCTAGTGCCCTCTCTAAAGAGAATCCACGTTTGTTGATGTCTCCCCAGGGAAATTCTTACAGCAGCTTGGCCCTGGCCCTGGCTTGGCAAGCACTCTAAGTTCACTGAGGATTTACACTCATTCTGTACACTTTACGAGCCAACGAGCATAATTAGTTGTATGTTTTTCTTGTGAAAATAACAAAAAAAAAATAGGAAATGACATATGTTAGGAAAGTGAACGTTTATTTGCATTTTCCTTTCTGTCATTCCACACGGAGGCGACAGGGACCTGCAGCCCTGAGACACCCCGCCCTGGCAGGGAAGCAGAGCGGCAGACTTAGTGCCCAGCGCTGCGGGCGACTCCGGGTCCGGCGCCGAGAGGCGAGGGGGCCTGTTGGTGCAACGCTCTCCATCGGGAAAGGCGAAGCGGATTCGAGCTGTCAAAGCGTGTGAAGCCCTGGGAGAGTAGGGTGACAGGAGGTTGGGGGCGGTGACCTCACCGAGAGCCTGTGGATGGGGCAACAGCGGAGAAATAGCGCTGGACGCAGGAGCTTGATGGGGAAATCAGCAGTGGGTCTGACTTCAAGACAGCATGCAGGAATTCAGCTCTGGGCTGCCGCTACGTGAGAGGAAAAAGAACACCGCCAGGACCTAGCCTCCCACGCGCAGTTTCAATATTATCCTGTTGTTGACATTATGGGCAGCAATAAAAACGCCGGCTGCCGAAGGCCCCAGCGAGATTTGAACTCGCGACCCCTGGTTTACAAGACCAGTGCTCTAACCCCTGAGCTATGGAGCCAACCGTGCAACTCGCCTCTGCGCACGAGCAGTTAATACCATCGCCATCATCGCGCAGCCGCAGAATGTAACGCCGGGTTAAAGAATAAAATGGAATTGTCTTTCAATCGAATAGCAGCAGCAGGCACGACTGCGTTGTCCACAAGGACAGGTAAATCAGGAGTCTTCGGACATAGCCTCTTGAAGAACAGGTCCGTGTCGTGCCTGCGGGCCGGAGGGGGCTGCCCCCCCAGTGGCAGGAGCTGTGAGGAGTGCCCTGGAGCCGGAAAGGGGCTTGTGACCAAGGACTGGAGCCAAAGGTCAAAGGGCTGGTAATGCAGAGGGAAGGGGGTCGATGAAACTGTCCTGCAGGCTACAAAGTCAGTGCTATTAGGAGGTACCTGAAAGGGGCTGGGTAGTGACAGCTGGGAGGGAATCATGCGGTCGGGCTCTTCCGAGGTGCTGAGCGGAGATCACCTTAGAGACTTAGAGTCCCCTGATCCCACCATACTTACATGCAAATCTGAAAAGTACAACCAACCTTAAGGTACATCTTAAAGCCAGCCATGAACTAGTTTGTCAGGGCCCCTAAGAGCCCACTGAGCGGAAGACAGAGAGGATGAGCATGTAGAGGAAGACAGGAGTCATAATCTGAGAAGAAATTAAAAGCAGTGGCTGTAGTCCATTACCCTTGCCCTGGTGGCTAGTCTGCCCTGGCCCTCAAATGAGATGACTTGGGTTGTTGTACCGGTCAGAGGCAGTCCCTGGATGCCCTTCATTTGACTGCGGAGAACTCGGTGAAGATGAGATGTAGAATCCTGGGTTTCTGGGTTCTAGGACTAATGGGTGGAGTAAGAAAGATGTCTTAGGGCCAGTTATTCTCAGAGACCCAATAATGTTAGAGGTCTTGTGATGCCCAAGAGAGGAAAGCCTTACATGAGCTTGTGCAGCCAAGTCACCAAGTTGCCCTGTAGCCAAATAATTGTCATAGTAACTGTTGTCCCATTACGGCCATTATACAGAAATCTATAATCATGCTACAAATACCATTCCCTGAAAGACACAATCATGTATACAGACAGCAGCTACCCACAATCCCTAGTCCTGGCCTCACATGTACATGGTATACCTACACCCAACATCACAGTTCCTGTGACATGTAATACTGTGTCATTCTAAACACAGTTATTGAATGATGCAAAGGAAATTATGATCATCAAAAAGCCATACAAGCTGAGTATGGTTGGCACACATCTTTAATCCCACAGCTACAGAGGCAGAAGTATCTCTGTGAGTCCAAGGCCAATCTAGTCTACAGAGAGTTCCAGGCTAGTCAAGGATACAGAAAGAGACCTCATCTTAAAATTAAAAAAAAAAAAATTAAAAAATTTTTAAAAAAGGTTTGAACCACGGTATTTGGAGTTATCTAAATCTGTCCCCAGGACATAGTCACTCATACTTGACGCTAGTGTTGTGGCGTTCAAATCCACAGGGAAAGACCCAAGACTTAGACTCAATTTAGATTAAATGAGTTTGTTCTTACTGCTAACAGAGAGACAGCAGCCTTAGAGGCAAACAGCACTCCATGCAGAAGAGAGCTAAAGGGAGGGCTTATAAAGGTGATATCAAAGGTGTACATTACAATTTCTACGGAATCCGGAGCTGGACAAGAAACCTCTTTACCTCCCCGCTGTTTCTCTCTCCCGTTGTATAGTAATAAAAAAAAACCCACTTCATCCCAGTCCCACAGCGCTAAGTGAGTTTCCAAAAGCAGAAAGCAGGAACATCATTATCCTGTTCTTATCTCACCTGCAGGCCACTAGGCTCTCACAGGCATTCCAGGGTCAATGCCAGCGGCCCGTAAGGGGTGCCTGGTACTATATTAAGTTTCTTTAGCCATCACAGGGGCATATGTGAAATTATTACACAGGTCTGAGCACTCTGGGGGAAGTGTGACTAATGACTTAGATAGAGCAGGCAATAACACAGTGCCATCAGGTTAGGGCTGGCTGTCACACCCTTACACCAGAACTCTCATTCCCTTTGAAATGAAATCATGTGTGTGTTTGTGTTTATGTGTATATGTCTGTGTGAATGTATATACACATGTGTGTGCACTGGTTCTGGGGTGTGCATAGAGACCCAAAGAGACCGTCATAATATCCCTTGAAGCTGGAGACCTGGCTATTTACAGAACACACTGTCTGTTACATGGGTGTTGGGATCCAAACTCTGGTCCTCATGATTTCACAGTAAGTGGGAAGCTATGTTTTTGTGTGGAAGTCTGTTTGCAACAGCTAACCCCTATATAGCTACTCATAAATGCCCTCTCCAATGTGGAGGAGCCCCAAAACAGCTTGACCACACAGATGCCATGACAGGTTTAGAGGCCCAGACACAGCTTCTGTGACAGGCTTACTGGCAGGTAGCACCCAGACCCAGGAAAAGCCATAAGATGATCCCACCCAGGGAGGGCCTACATCTAAGGAGAAGTACCTGACATCCCAAACATTCCAACCATTAGATAAGGTGGCCAGATGTCCCCACAGTCTAGCACACACCTATTTTTGTTTTACAGATACCCCTAGACAAATGTCAGCCAATCAGGGTCCTGAACCCTGGAAATCCCCTCACCCCAACCTCTGCTAAGATTAAAAAAAAAACTCTACCCCACCTGGGCTCAGGGCTCTCTGCTCTCACTGCTGCATCAGACAGATAGAAGAGACCAATCTGGGAGCTTGAAAATAAAGGCTCTTTGCTTTTACATATGGGATTCGGTCTCCATGGTGGTCTTTTGGGGGGTCCCTGAGATCTGGGCATAATATCTGAAACACTCATTCCCCTCATCCCAAATCTGAGATACAAGCACACAAGCTCACACACCTCAAATACATGACACTCAGGATCCTTCTAGCAGAAACCATTGCTCAGACATATCCTCCTCCTGCAGTCAAATGAGGGAGTCAAGAATGAGTCTAGCCAGCACCCTGAGAATTGTGCTCAAAATCTGTATTTCTGCCCCTTCTGCCCCTTCCCAGGGGAGCACTAAGCAAGAAACAGCCCACTGCGGCCCTTCCAGAAGCATAGCTTTGTGGAAGCTATGGAACAATAGCCAGCCAAGAGGATAAGGAGGGGGCAGACACGCAGCAACCCTTGTCACCAGGATGCTCTGCTGTTTGCATAGAGTTAGTAAGTTCCAGAAAGGGTTTGTCAGGACTGTTTATGCTGTCTCGACATTGGTGCAGGTTGCATCTGCAAACCCCTAAATATCAAATTGTGTTTCACAATTCCAGAATCTTTGATCTCCTTACCCAAAGGAGACCGTATACTGATGAAAAATGTGAGGCTTAAGGCACCTGTGACCAGACATGTTGCCAGTCACTGTGGTCAAGGATATCATCGTATCAGGCTAAGGAGTGCTGGAGAAGTGCAATGCACATGTGTGTGTATGTATGTACACTGTCGTCCAGGCCTCTCGTGTAGGTCAAGAGTTTCCTTCCAGATCTGGTTAGACCGGCTCCTGAGCCCGGAGCTACAGTGTTCCTCCCTAAATAAACAACCTAGCCTGGCCAGCTGGATCCGGAGGACTCGATGACCTCTCTAGGCAGAGTCTGCAGCTGCCACAAATGTAAAGTAATAACCTGATGGCTCCAGGGCCAAACCACAACCCTTTGCGAGGGTACCAGTCTTTGACATTGCTCTGGCTCACAGGGACCCTTTTAAATCAAGATGGTAAGCTCGTGTGGTTAGAAGCATCCTTGTTAAGAGCTGGGCTTTTGTCCTAAGTGGGCGACCACCTCTTCATAGTTCAGATACAATTTGCAGGAACATTACAGGAAGGGGGCCAAGGGGAGCAGCCACTGAGGGTCCAAGGCATCTGTCTCTTCCCTGTGCAGTTCGTTACCCACAGCACCTCTTTCTTCGGTTTTCAGCGCCTCGGTTGTGAGCTCTGTGATAGCCCGCTAGGGCAGCCGGGGTTAGGGGTGTGGAGGGAAGGTCCAAGATGGAGTAGCTCTGTCTTAGGCCCCCGCGGCTGCCCTGTCCCCTCCTAGGAAGCCAGACAGCTCTTCAAGGCCAGATTCGCAAGTAGGTGCCAGTGGAGCAAACCGAGAAAAGAGGGAACACTCGCTCCTGGAAGTTGACGCGGAAGGTGTAGAGGTGGCGCATGTCCTCCACTGCGTAGAAGGACACCGCCCCCACCTCCAGGTCCAGCGCCACCCTCACCCGCAACAGCTGGCCACAGTTGAGGGGCGTCCTCTCAGGGCTGGTCACAGCCCAGTACTGCCCGTTGTTGAGTTGCATGGCCCAGACGCCCTCCTCGGGGGTAAAGGGCGTGAGGCCCTTGCGACGCACGCTCTCGCGGGCCACACCGAAGGCCCAGCCATCCTTGGAGCCCACTTCCACCTCCCAGTGATGTCGCCCCGAGGAGAAGCCACAGGACGCCAGAACGCGGGTGTTGGTATCAAAGCGGCGGGGATAGTTAGGCAAGTCCTGGGCACGCTGTCCTAGGCGCACGCTCTTCAGATCCAGGGACAAGATGAGGCGGGGGTTGGCTGTGTCCGGGTCCAAAGTGAGTTCCACTGAGGATAGAGAAAGAGAAAGATGTCTCCAAACGCGTTACTTTCACAGTCTCGGCACTCAGGGCACAGTCCCTTCTTGTCACCGGGTCTTCCCTCCCTTGGGGGAAAGCCAATGCCTGTCAACCCTCCCTCCACATCAACGATTTAACTTTCCTCATTCCTTTCTTTCCTCTTCAATTTAACAAACACTATTAAATTTTTTTTTTTTTTTTTTGGTTTTTTCGAGATAGGGTTTCTCTGTGTAGCTTTGCGCCTTTCCTGGAACTCACTTTGTAGACCAGGCTGGCCTCGAACTCACAGAGATCCGCCTGGCTCTGCCTCCCGAGTGCTGGGATTAAAGGCGTGCGCCACCACCGCCCGGCCCACTATTAAAATTTTTAAAAAACTCATAAAATCTAAGAAATACAGTGGGCCTGGTTTGGATCTCAATTTGAGCAGGTCAATAAATCTGATTTCAAAGATAATTGTGAAGCGGGGTAGTAGAGAAAGCCTGAGCTTGGGAGGTGGAGGCAGAAGAATTCAAGGCCACCTTCAGTTATATCGCCAGCCTGAGGCCAGTGGGAGCTACAAGAGCCTTGTCTCAAAACGAAGACAATTGGGGAAATTTGAAAATTAGACACAAGAAAGAATCATCATTTTTTTCTAGGTATGATGGTTCTGTTTTTTAGGAGTCCGTCTCTTGCCTGATATGAAGGTCCACCCTATATTCTCAGAATTTGGGAGGGAGTGTGGGGCAGAGCTCTGTGAGCTGGGAGCAAGTCTGGTCTACAGTCAGTTCCAGGCCAGCCAGAGCTATACAAAAACAAAAAAAAAGATGCTGGACTGTGGTGGGGCACGCCTTTAATCCCAGCACTTGGGAGGCAGAGGCAGGAGGATCTCTGTGAGTTCGAGGCCAGCCTGATCTACAAAGCGAGTTCCAGGAACGGGACAAAACTACACAAAGAAACCCCTGTCTTGAAAAACCAATAAATAAATAAATAAATAAATAAATAAATAAATAAATAAATAAATAAATAAATAAATAAATAAATAAATGAAAATAAATAAAAAGCTACAAAATGCACTAAGTTGTAAACATTATTATAGGATTTATTCCACGCCCTCTGTGGTGGTTTGAATGAGAACGGCTCCATAGGATTATATGTTTGAATGCTCAATCACCAGGGAGTGGAACTGTTTGGGAAGAATTAGGAAGTGTGGCATTGTTGGAAGACATGTGTAGCCCAAGGCAGGCCCAGAGTCAGTCAGTCTGTCTACTTCTCTCTCTCTCTCTCTCTCTCTCTCTCTCTCTCTCTCTCTCTCTCTTTCTCTCTCTCTCTCTGTCTTTCTCTTTCTCTCTTTCTGCCTGCTGCCTGCAGATGGAGATGTAAAACTCTCAGCAACTGCTACAGCACCATGCCTGTCCATTTTCAGCCATGCTGATCATGAACTACCCTCTGACACAGTAAGCAAGCCCCAATGAAATGGTTTCCTTTATAAGAGTTGCATCGGTCCTAGTGTCTCTTCATAACAATAGAACAGTAACCAGAGTGATAGTCACTGAGGTGGATGGGCAGACAGAGATTTGTAAAGCCCAGAGAGACAGCCTCTGGCAGGGAGCAGGTTCCCTACCTGGCCAGTCACAACGGTCAGCCATACCTTTCTCCTCTTTCTCCAGCTCTCCCCGGAGATCCTCTACAGAGAAACAAAGCAGAGCAAATATACACAGTGTGGGAGACCGCCCGGCCAGGAAACTTCTTCTCCCCACACACCTAGAGCCCACCTGACTCCAGCTTCTCAGAGGCTAAGATTTGCATGTACAGACCGAGATGGGAACAGGAGGAGAAGGGACCCCCCACATGTCCTAGCTCCACCACTTCCTCTTCTCCCTCTATTATCTAGAACCGGTCTGACCTGACATCTCCCCCCTTAGCCTTCTTCCTGCCCCCAGTACTCTTCTAATCTGTCTGTCCCCATGGAAAGCAGGATGGGGGGGGGGGCGCACAGGACGACGGGACCCAGAGGGTTTTGTCATCAGTGCCTTCCTAGAACAATCTGGCTTTGGTATGCCCCAACTCCTGTCTCCTCTTCTCAGTTCAGGAAAGACACACCTTTAGGTCCCATGGACCTACCAGGAGCACGCCCCCTCCCCTCAACACTGCATGACCCAGCCCACACCCATGGCCCATACCTTTGAACTTCTTCAGCAATCCTTTTAAGATGAAACTCTTGAGGGAAACATTCCACACTTTATTCTTCATCTCCGATGAGACCGTGGTTGGCTTGGAGCCAGGCATACTGCTGCACCTGCAGGACAAGGCCCCCGAGGAAGTCCCAAGAGCCCCAGCTCACTCCAGTGCCCTCCGACAGTTAGGAAGGTGCTATAAATACGTGCAGTCCTAGAGGCCTGATTACCACCTTGTGCACTATTGGGAGATAGCACAACCTTTAGGAGGTGGGTCTGGGGGAAGAAGGTATAGGATTGGAGAATTGCCTTTGAAGAGAATATCATCAAACTGACTATCTTATTCTCTCATTTCTCCCTCCCTCCCTCCCTCTCCCTCTCCCCATGCCTTCTCTCTGTCTTCCCAGTTGCTTCCTGTAAGAGGAAAAGGGAAAGCCAACTTTATCTAGGAATTCCCACAGCCAGGAAAGGGGGCCTTTGCCTCAAAAGGGACCCAGGTAAGGAAGTAGGAGTTGGGGGTCAGGAGGTGAGAGATGATGTTGGGGTAAAGAGAGAAAGCTTGGTGGGAGCGCAAAGGAGCTTGGGAAGGCTGAGGAATGGTTAGGTTCACTCACTTGCTTAGTGTGCTTTTGAATTCCTGGAAGAAAAGAGGAAAGGAAATCAAGCCATCATTATCTAACCTCCATTCATTCACCTTTGAGAAAACATGACTTGTTCCTTACCCAACTCACAGAAAATAAGCCATGCCCCACTGAACACGGGTGACAGTGGTTTCCAGCTGTGGCTGGCCACAGGATGTTCTGTCACTCCTAGTGCCCTTCAGCCCTGGTCACAGATATGCACAGCTTTTATTGTGAAATCCTCCCTGGGCTATCTGACAAGACCTAGTGTTTACCACGAGCATGGTTACCACCCCAGACAAGCCACAGTGTCTTGGTTGTTTCTTTTTTGTGTCTGTCTGTCCCCCACCTCCACCCTGACAGGGTTTCACTGGCTGGCCACAAACTCAGAGATCTGCCTCCTGAGTGCTGGGGTTAAAGGTGTGTGCTACTATGCCTGGCCTGGTGACTATCTTTTTAATTGCTTGTTTATTTATTTATTTATTGGTTTTTCGAGACGAGGTTTCTCTGTGTAGCTCTGGAGCCTGTCCTGGAACTCACTCTGTAGACCAGGCTGGCCTCAAACTCACAGAGATCCGCCTGCCTCTGCCTCCCGAGTGCTGGGGTTAAAGGCGTGTGCCACCACCGCTGTGGCGAGCCACAGGGATATGAAATAGAAGTCCAGCTGTACATGATAAGCTATACCTTGATAAGGCCAAGGGTCAATCAATGGGAAGCCAATCAGCAAGGTCTATTGGTGTTATGCGGCTCAATATTCAGTCGTGCCTTGCTATGAGTTCCTTGTGCTCGTAATTCTCCTAAAATGTGTATGTGTGTGTGAATCTCCGTTTCAAAGCACCTGGATAGTCACATAGAACCTTCTGCCTCTGAGCTCCAGGCCCCTTCTTTAGCATTTGTTTTGGGTATCTGTCTTTTGCAAATACCCTCCTTGAGCTTCCTAAAACAGAGTCAACCCCAAACAAAGCCTTAAAAGACAAGCAAGGAACAGGCCATCTGAGCTCCAGGCCATCATCTGTTAGACGCCTGAAAAAACCCCGAACTTAGATAAAATGTCTTTTCTGAGACTACATGTCTCGAAGGCCAAATGCCTACCAACTAGACGAACAAGCTTTGTTTCTTGTGCAAATCAAGCCCCCCCCCCCCCCCCACCAGAGAACCTCTTAGATCAAAGGGAGTTTCCCCTCAGCAGGCACTTCAAGCTGTGATGCAGATTGACTAGCTACCAAGACTCTTCCCCTGCCCTGTCAGGAAACTGGCGGCAGAGGGGAAAAAGTGAGTTTTAACTTTTAGTGACCTACAGACTCTCCCTACCCTATCACCTGTAAGTTTATAGTTGAACACATTTATGACAGACTCGTCATCACCCAACCACAGTAAGGATATGTTTCTAGCACACATTCCTTTTCTGATTTACTTCAACTGCTAACTGACTCCACTCTTATCGCTCCCCTTTTGGGTTGCAAATAAAATTGCCAGGAAGCCTCTAGTGGGGACCCCTATAATCTCGGGCGTACACAAAACATAAGGTGTTACTGCTTAGGAGAGGATATGGACCAGCCCGAGGAGAGGGAACTAGGATTCGGGGAGATTAATAGAATTGGAACTAGGGAAACTAGGAGAATTGGAACTAGGGAAACTAAGAGAATTGGAACTAAAGAAATTTAGAGAAATCAGGAAGGGAAGGGAATGAAGAATTGAAGGATTGAAGATTTGAGGGAACTGAGGATGGAGGGAACTAGGAATGGAGGGAACTAAGGATTAAGGGAACTAAGAATTGAAGGAAATTAAGAGAAAGAGAAATCAGGAATTGAGGGAATTAAGAAATGAACAGGGCCGGGCGGTGGTGGCGCACGCCTTTAATCCCAGCACTCGGGAGGCAGAGCCAGGAGGATCTCTATGAGTTCGAGGCCAGCCTGGACTACCAAGTGAGTTCCAGGAAAGGCGCAAAGCTACACAGAGAAACCCTGTCTCGAAAAATACAAAAAAAAAAAAAAAAAAAAAAAAAAAGAAATGAACAGATTTGAGAGATTTAAACTGGTGATTGCGGCTGGGCGGCGCGGCGGCGGCGCACGCCTTTAATCCCAGCACTTGGGAGGCAGAGCCAGGCGGATCTCTGTGAGTTCAAGCCAGTCTGGGTTACCAAGTGAGTTCCAGGAAAGGTGAAAAGCTACACAGAGAAACCCTGTCTTGAAAAGCCAAAAACCAAACAATAAAATAAATAAATAAAAAATAAAAAAATAATAAACTGGTGATTGAATGATGGTGACTGACCAATAAACGAATTGAACGAAAGAGCTCCGAGCAACTGGATTCATTCCCACACCGATGGTAGTACCTCTCCTGGCCCCCTAGATTTGTATAAATTTAAGGCTGGACCCTTAAATATTATACCAAACACTGCCTGGCTTGTTTGTTTGCTTGTTTATTTAATTTTTTTTTGGGGGGGGTTCGAGACAGGGTTTCTCTGTGTAGCTTTGGAGCCTGTCCTGGATCTCACTTTGTAGACCAGGTTGGCCTCGAACTCACAAAGATTCGCCTGGCTCTGCCTCCCGAGTGCTGGGATTAAATTCGTGCGCCACCACCGCCCGGCCTTTGTTTATTTATTTTTTAATAAATGTTTATGTGTACAGGTGTTTTGCCTGCCTGCATGTCTGTGCACCACCTGTGTCTGGGGGCCAGAAGAGGGCACCAGATCTCCAAAAACTAGAGTTAGAGGTGATGCGCCACCATTTCGGTACTGGGAATCAAACAGCCAGTGTTGTTAACTGCTTAGCCGTCTCTCCAGCCCCAACTTTTTTTTTTTTTTTTTTTTTTTTTAATGAAATAGAATAGCATAGAGCACATTAGAGTGAATTATTACAGGTTGCAAAGATAAGGATTGTTTTCTGAGATTGGTCTCGATTATGTGTATACAAGACTAAATGTTAAATAAATTAGAAATTATAATGGCTGATAACCATGAAAGTTTTATCACATCCCTTCTCGCCTTCCAATCCCAGTGCCCTTTTCCCCGATCCCCTTCCTCCTGAGGTCTGATTGTCCTCCAGCAGCCTTTCCTCATGCCTGGGGACAAATGCCTCAAGGCTGTGACTGAGCCAGCCTCACCTGGAGGAAGTCTAGATCCGGCTTCTGAGCTGTCTCCTGGATCTGGCTGGTGAGCTTGGCCAGCTGAGTGATCTCATTCTCCAGCTGCGCCATGTTCTCATTCTGCTTCTGGGTCACTTCCCGGGACAGCACCTCCAGGCGGCCTAAAAGCCGACCCTCCTGCTCCACCAGAAAGGCCCGAAGTGCCTGGAACTCGGCCCCCACCTTCTCCTTCTCGGCTACCATCTGCTTCTGTCTCGGGAAAAAGTTGGCACACAACTTAGGGGAGAAGGGACTTGGGCAGAACATGAAGACAGTTTTGAGGGCCAGGCGGTGGTGGCGCACGCCTTTAATCCCAGCACTCGGGAGGCAGAGGCAGGCGGATCGCTGTGAGTTCGAGGCCAGCCTGCCTGGTCTACAGAGCGAGCTCCGGGGCAGGGTCGCTTCCCCCTCACCGGAGAAAGAGGCACACCAACACATGCATACTGTGCACACCCCTGACACTGTACAAGCTACAGCCTCAACACATGCTCCTCTCTCCCCTGCCACGTATGTCCTCTGGTGGCCCTTAGGACACGGGCTTTACACCTACCTTAAGGCATCTGCAAACTCCCCACAGCTGCCTCAAGCTGCAGCTTCCATCGTGAGGATTAAATCAGAGGTTGCTTTTCCCCCCACTCTCTGTATTTATTTAATTCTCTTTCACCCTGTATTTTAGAGACAAGGTCTCTGGCTGGCCTGGAGCTTTCTTGTTATGGTTCAGTAAGAAAGCTCTCATGAAGTGCAGAGCAGCTACTGGCGCCATCCTTAGACTTCCCAGCCTCCAGAACTGTGAACTAAACTCATCATCATCATCGTTGTTGTTGTTATTGTTGCTGTTATATAGCCCTGGCTGTCCTGGAATTCATTATGAAGACCAGGCTGGCCTCAAACTCACAGATAACCTGTTTCTGACCCACAACTGCTGGAATTAAAGGTGTGAGCCATCACACCCTGTTACACTCCATTTTTTTCTTTTAGTTAAAACTTCTTGGCCATTAGCTCAGGCCTACCACTGACTAGCTCTTACACTTAAACCCAGCCCACTTCTGTTCATCTATGTGTCGCCACGTGTTCCGTGGCTTTACCTGTGACATTCCATTCTTGAAAAAGCACACAGTCAGTGATACTGTGTGACAGCAGCAGAAAGCAGACTCCCAGACTAAGAAAACTGTAAACAGAGGTGTCCCAATCTTGCTGCTGTTGACCTTTGGAGCCAGATAATTCCTGGCTGTGGGGGCTTCCCGGGAGTTGGCCAGTAAATGCCAGTGACACTCCCAGTGCTGACAACCCAAAATACCTCCAGACATTACTGGGTGTCCCCTGAGGTAAGGGCATTTTTCAGATGAAACTAATCTCCTCTTCCTACCCCTGACTTCCAGCCCACATGATATGTACAATTATAAAATCCCTGTTTAGTGGAACAGAAGCAGGCTCACCTGCTGCTGTATGTATGGTGAGAAGAATGAGGGACGTGTGGCTCAGTAGTAGAGCACTTGCTTGGCTGTGAAAGGCCCTGGTTTGGATAGTTTTAGGGGGAAGGTTTGAGAAAGGGCAGAGATGGGAGGTGCTAAACAATATCCTGGGGAAGTAGGTTAGAGCCTGGGAAGCTGCCCAGGCCATAGAGAATGTCCTCTCAGTCACAGATGTAAAGCAAAGGTTGAAGAGGTTTGTATGCTCTTGCTGCTTTCTCCAGCGGAGGGGGAATAAAGGTCTGGATGGGTGAACTTTGCTTTGTGGGGAGCAGTGAATGATTAAACGTGAAAGTCTGGGAGGTCCAATGCATGAAGGTGTAAAAACAGTTAAGAGTAATGAGAGGGCCGGGCCTGGCGGCATACAGCTTCAATCCGAGCACTGGGGAGGGAGAAGTTGGTGGGTCTCTGTAGGTTTGAGGCTAGCCTGGTTTTTGGTCTGCATAGCAAGTTCCAGGACAGTCAGGGCTATATAGAGACTCGGTCTCAAACAAAACAACAACAACAACGAAGAGCTCAGAGAGGAGCCTGAGCATCTGAACTCCATAGTCTTTCCCTACCTACCGTAAAGAGTGGAGAGTTTGGGCTAGTGAGATATCTCAGCAGGTAAAAGACACTTGGCTGGCTCATAAACCTGTTCAATCCCGAGAATTTACCTCAAGGCGGAGGGCAGGGACTGACACAAAGTTACCCTCTGACCTCCACATGCAGACAGTGGCACATGCACCCCACAATATAAATATAAACAAATAGATACTTTTTTAGAGACTAAGAGGGTCCTCCATGCCTGCCTCTCCCTCTATTCCTAGCTTTATGGACAAATGACTTCGTCCTAAAAGACCCAATTGGTTCCTTTCATTCCCTCAGCACTATTTATTGAGCTTGGGACTGAATTTGTGAGGTAGAAAATGACAGACTCATGTTTGTCCATAGTAACCAAGATGAGTCCCATTTTACTTTCCTTTCAAATTGGAGGTGCTGGACACTAGAGGCTACATAGAACCAGAGTCCCCAGGCCTCCTGTCCTCTGCCACAGCCAGGTGCAGTTCTGATCCCCCTTCACCATCTTCTCCCTGAACCTCTAATTCTTAAATTGAAGCTTTGAAAATGAACATTTGCCCACAGTTCTTTCCATGGCAGAATATGTCTCAGGCTGATACGCGGGCTCCTTACTGTATTCATGTTTTCATTTAATATTACATGTTTCTGTGAAGAAGTATTAATGCATTCAGTTACAAGATGTTGTCACTACAGGACCTAATTGTTTGGTTACAAATGATTGTACATCCTAGAGATATTTTTGAATGGTCTCTTTCACAAACTCTGGTTTGTATTATAAATTGTATGGTCAACCTTTACGATGTATACCATATTATCTTTCTGGAATCCACCCTACTGTTTCAACGCCCCCGCCCCCCATCTCTCTCTCTTCCCCTCCCCCTCCTCCGTGCCCTGAGTATTCACAACCTCCTGCCTCCCACACTTGGACTCACCAGAAGCTCCTTGCTCTCCGTCTCCTCCGTAGACCGGAACACTTCATACTCTTCTAGTTCTTTCTTCAAGGCCTTCAGCCTGGAGTCCAGCAGCTCCTGTGATATGAAAGGAGACACTATGGGAAGAGAATTCTGGAAACCCTCTCACATGTGCCGTCCTAGAGACCAGCTGGGAGAAAGCCAAGGTTCTGTTCTCGGAGCAGGATACCGGACAGATATCATCCCCGGCTGTAGGGTGAACATGGCCTGTGCAGACTAAGCCTATCCGTGCAGAGCAAATACAAGGGCACTCCAGAGGCCCAAGTGAAGTGAGCCACACGGTCTGCACTGAAACTCAAGACTCCCACTTTGTTGGTTCAGTTCACCCTGTCTCCTGCTCTCCTCTCAAGCAACAGAAAGCACACATGTAATGAGGGCTGAAGACAGACAGAGCCCCAAAGACTAGGGGGTGCACACACCTCTTGTGCGGCTGCCCAGCATGGGGCAGACAAAGGGGAGTTGCCCAGAACCCATGGGCTTCGCACAGCCCAGGCCTCTTGAGGCAGGCCACTTAAACCAGGAAGCCCCACTGTGGTCCTCTATGAACCGGGTACTTTGAGGAGGTGCCACGCCTCTAGGAAAGGAGTAAGTAAGTGAAGGCAAGGGATGTGTGGGCGGGCGTGCAAACAGAGATTGTTCTCCCGGGCAGAGTTACAACAACAGTTGGTAACAAGAAAATCTCCAAGTCCCTGGGGCCGCCATCTCCAGGCAGTGGGGCCTGAGAGACCAGAGGAGAGGAGGGATGTGTCCTGGAAAACCGCAGATCAGGATGAGAGAAAGGAGACGCGAGCTCCGCCGAAGGCCATGCGGCCTGTAGTCTGCCAGGAGAGCCGGCCGGGAGGGCTGGAGGAGAGAGCCAGGGGTCCAGGAGACCGTGCACCCACCTTGGCCTCCTGCACCGCCTCCTCCAGAGGCAGCACCGCGTGCTCACGATGCTCGCGGGCGCGGTCGCACACCACGCAGATGGCACGTCCGTCGTCCTGGCAGTAGAGCTTAAGCTGCTCTCCGTGCTGCGAACAGCGCGCGGCCGCCGCCCCGGCCGCCGCCTTCGGGGTCCCGCACTCCCCCGAGACCGTAGGGGGCAGGCTGAAGCGCCGAAGCAGCGAGGCCACCGCGGCCAGCTGTCGGTTGGGCCGCAGCTGGCTGGGGCGCGCGGGCTCGCGGCACTGCGGGCAGGGCAGTGGGTAGGGCAGCGTGCGGGTCGCCGTGCCGGTCCCCGCGGCGGGACGCTCCCAGCAGCGCGTGATGCAGGCGCGGCAGAAGCTGTGGCCGCACTCGACCGACACCGGTTCCTGGAAGAACTCTAGGCAGATGGAGCACGTCGCCTCTCCTTGGAGCTCTGCCGCCAGAGCCAGCGCTTCGGCCCCTGCGTTCGGCCCGGTCCGGGGCCCCACGGTCGCCATCCGTGCCCTTGGTACATCCAAGTCTTGCGGCGCTGGGGAGGCCCCTGGACTCTACGGGACGCTCCAGGCTGGGCTGGGCTCCCGAGCACTACTGGATGAGGAAGGGCGGGGCTGCCGCCGGCAAGCTGAGACTTGAGCGAGGGTGCACCAGCTGGGAGTGGAGGGAGGCGGGCGGTGCCCTTTCTCTGAGCTCCCAGAGCCACCACCCCAGCCGGGGACTTCCCTTCTATCGACCCCCCCCCTCCCTTCCTCGGCCTCTCTAGGCCACCCCAGGATGACCCAGTCAGCAGAAGGAAACTGTCCGGGACAGGTGAGCGCACAAGCCTAGCTGGGCTCCACTCCCAGTTGCTGACCTAGGCTGACCCTGCACTGCAGGGGCAAAGAAAGGCCTGCCTCCCGGGGCCAGGTGTCTGGTTCCCCGCGTAACCGTTCACCCTGGCACTGCACTGAGCTAAACTTAGGGTCTGGAATTTGGCTGTACCGCCTCACCCCAAGCGTGGCCTTTTGTCCACTTTTGTAACTGTATTTCTTACAATTCTTCCCCCTTCCTCTTTAATTTTGAACAAGTAATACAACCACTTTTTCTCGTTTCATTCAGTATTATTTCGCCACCCCCCCCAAAAAAAAACCAACAAAGAAAAAACAAACAAACAAAAAAAACAGTGGCGCGCGCCTTTAATCCCAGCACTCGGGAGGCAGAGGCAGGAGGATCTTGAGGCCAGCCTGGTCTCCATAGCGAGTTCCAGGAAAGGCGCAAGGCTACACAGAGAAACCCTGTCTCAAAAAACCAAAACAAACAAACAAAAAAAAAAAGAAAAGAAAAACAACAACAACAAAAAAACAAACAACAACAACGAAAAAAACAACCCTTCTCTGTCTCTCCAGCTGGTGTTCCTGTTCCACTAGGGCCAGGCTTCCTCCTCTACCCTCTGAAAAACTTTCTTGTCAATTGTCACCATCCACTCACTCAATTCTAACCCAAAGGGCAGACCTCACCTCTTCTGCTCTCTGATGTGTCTGCCCTGCCTGATAGCATTTTCTCCTCGCCACTCAGAACTCTACATTCCCCCTTCCTTCCAGTCCATGGCCTCCTACTTCCTACTTAGTATCTAAGGCTTCCCACTCCACTCCCTGCCCTGGCTCAGTCCCTAGGCCCCAGTCTCAACACTCTCTGTGATCGCTTCTATAACAGGGCACCAGCCCCTAGCACAACTGACTCTACGATGGAAGTGCCTTTCAGGCTGTAGAACTCAGCATACAGACAACAGCACTGCCCGCCAAAACTAAAACAAAGGCCTAATCCATCAAAGTCCACATAGTTCTGGGAAAGTCTCTAAGTGAACTAACCCTGCTTTTTAGCTTCTGTAGTTCTGCTTCTGGCTAACTGTTCTTACTAATTGAAATATGTCAGAGCATAGTTTTTGTGCTTAAAAGCTCACCCTGAGAGGCTAAAATCTTTTTAGATTATGGATTTGCCTATAGAAAAATGTCTTCCGTAAATAAAAAAGTGAATGGGGAAGATGAATAGGAATCTCACTTACACAACTTAAGTAAAACATAGCTCTCTGAACAGATGAAGATAGGTTTCTTTTATATCCGAGAAACTAATCAATATTTATATGTATAATTCATCTATTATTTGGCTTAGAAGGGCTTATTGGGAAATATTTTTACTATTTTCTACAGAGTAAATATTTTCCAGTTTCAAATAACCCTGGACTTTTGAATTATAACCTATTTTTATGTTCAAGCTATCCGTGTATTATTTCTCCTTCAGTTGTACATAAAATGTTTTTACATTCAAAAAAGGGACAAATACTATAGAATTGTATTACATGAAATATATAGGATATACAAATTCATAGAGACAGAAAGATTAGACGTTATCTCAAGATGAAGAAGAAAGGAATATAGAGCAATGCTTTCCTAAGTACAGAATCTCTGTTTTGTGTGACGGAAAAGCCCCACAACAGACAGTAGTATCAGGATATAATATCATGAATGTAATAAATCAATACAATTACTATAATTAATAAATATCATAAATATAGTTATTGAATGAATACTTCGAAGGGTATCAATGAATACCACAAATGTAATTAATATCATGAGTAATTAATGAATATCATGAGTGTAGTTAAAAAAATAAATTAAAAACGAAAAAGCTCACCCTGAGAAAGGTGATCCTGAATACCCAGTATAGTTGCCGGCCAGCTAATAAAGACTTTCTATTGCCTTAAACCCATGTCTGAGCAGAGTTCTCTGGTGAATACCCCAACACTTCTACTTTTTTTACTTTAGAGAACCCTTTTAAGAGCTGATATCTCCACAGTATACATCAGAGCCCTCTGCTCAAACCCCACCTGTAGCTTCTAACTCTGAGTACAAATTGAAGTCCTCACAATAACCTGAAGACTCCACCTTCTCCTTGTGCCCAGCTCCTATACTCACACTCCCATGTCCTCATCCCAATGCAGCCCTGTGAGCCTTCTTGACACCCCTACACGTCGGAAAGAGTCCTGTGTCATGGCTTTTGCTTGATTCTTCGCCTGCCTCCGTCATGGAACGTTTTAATTTTTCTGCAAGTTCAACTACAATTGTTTTTCAGATAAGGAACTTTAAGTCAGTTGAAGAAACAAGTGAGTCCTGGGACTAAGGAGTGCCTTAGAATCTTCAGGCGCAAGACTGCAGATGGTGAGCAGGGCTAGTACATCTACCCAGAAGTCAGAGTAAAGGCCTCAGGGACCTTCAGTGATGTGTTATTTGCTGGGCCTGGTGGCACAGATCTGTAATCACAGCATTGAAGGGCAGAGGATCAGGAATTCAAGGTCATCTCTGGCTACACAGCTGCTTGAAGGTCAGCTTGGGTTATGTGAGACCCAGATTTAAAAAAAAAAAAAGTTATTTCTAAGGACTAGAGCCCCCAAGTAGCTCACTAATCCTTTTGCAGGTTTGTTTGTCTGTTATTTGTTGACTTGATCACTTTTTCTATTCAAATCCTTCATCCCTACACAGCATGCAATCAAACGTGGCAAACACCTCTTCAGTGGACGGCAGGGCAACTGACTCATGGCGGGATACCATACTGAAGCGGTTTGATTGGTTTATGTTTGACTTGCAAATGTTAACCAGACACAAAAATAACTGCACCACCATCGAATCCCAGCCGACCAGCTCCTGGGCTCACACTGCTGATGCGTCTTGCAGAAATCCGTAAAGTGTGCACTTCCTCCAGGTCTCCTTTCAGATGTGACCTTATCCACGAAGCCAACAGGCCATCACGACCACTCAGATTTAAATGTAAAATTAAGAAAAAACAAAAACCCAAAAACCGGAGCATTTGAAAACCCGCCCATTTCCTATGCACTTTCCGCATCTACAGCAATTAACTTCATTGTTTTGTTTTAACTTTTTATGTTTTACTACATTATCTTGCATTTAAAACAAAAACCAAACGTATCTTTCTTTTTCGAGTCGCGGTTCTTTTTTTTTGTCATAATGCCTGATGAGTGAGTCTCTTTTCTCCCCTCGTCCCAGTCCGGGATCTGTCCGCTCTCGGGGATCTTTCCGGAAAGAACAGCTTCTTTAGTGAGGGTCGGAGAAAGACTCTGGAACAGCACGCGGCGGGGCGGCCTCTCGCGAATTTTGCAAACGTTTGTGGTCTGCAGATCGTAAAATTCAATCTACGTTAGGAGCCGTATACTACGCAATAACTAGGGGAGCTCTGAGAAACGGCAAAGAGCGGACGGGGATGTAGCTCAGTGGTAGAGCGCATGCTTTGCATGTATGAGGCCCCGGGTTCGATCCCCGGCATCTCCAGGTGGTGACCTCTTTTTGCTCATTAGCTTTCGTTTTTTTCTTCATGATAAATTTACAAATTGATCGTGCAACCCACAGCTGCAGAAAACCCAGATGGTGGAGGCACGAGATAAAAAAGGTTGTTGGCAGGGTGGCAAGGGCGGGTTTCGCCTCGTTCACTTCTCCCAGTTTGGGACTCTCCCGATAAAATTCCAAAGTAAGTAGTCTCTCCCTTCCAGTCCCCCCCTCCCCAAATTTCCCCCTCTTGGTAGAGAATAATAAGCAAAAAAATGGAAAGAAATAGGAAGGATGTTTATACACCAACGAACGGCTGAATTGAATTTTTCCGAATTTCTGTAGTTCTGCCAAATTTTGGGTTCAACGCCAAACCTGATTTACTTTTCTCCAAACATAGTCGTGAAGGAAAACAGACTCCTGCACAGCGCCCGGCTAGCTCAGTCGGTAGAGCATGAGACTCTTAATCTCAGGGTCGTGGGTTCGAGCCCCACGTTGGGCGCACAGCTACACTTTTAGACTTCACGACGCCCAGGAGTTTGTGAAAAATGAAATTCAGACAGCGCTGATTCCAAAATTCATACCTTTCATTGGGTACACTGGGAAAAACAACTAACACTCTGGAAACTTGAAAATTGAAATTAATCCCTTTCACTTTCAGCGTCGAGACGTTCATCGGCCGTTTCCTCTTCTACCTGCTTGTAAAGTCCCTGATCTCGGGCCCTCAGTTTTGTGGTGGCAAAATATATTGGATATCTATCATATTAACAAATATTTTCTTTTTAAAATCAAACCCTGGGCCTTGCATGCAGTGTGCAAGAGCTCTACCACTGAGTTACATCTCCAATTCTTTTTTTTTTTTTTTTTTTTGGTTTTTCGAGCTTATTTTAATTATGTTAACCGTACAGTTCCGTAGCATTAACTACATTCACATTGCTGTACCGCTTACACTTCTATTCATTTCTAGGCAAGCGGACCTTTTTATTGATCCATCCATCCATCCATCCATCCATCCATCCATTTATTTGGTTTTTGGAGACAAGATTTCTCTGTGTAGCCCTGGATGTCCTGGAATTCGCTCTGTAGACCAGGCTGGCCTACTAACTCGGAGATCGGCCTGCCAGCGTGTGCCACCACACCTGGCCTCGTGGACCTTTCCCATCTGTCCTGTCAAAACTGTTTATCAAACACTAACTCCTCACTACAGTCTTTACTCGGCCCCTGATAACGCTATTCCACTGTCTTTGTGAATACTCTTTATTTTTCCTAGAGCTATCAAATTCAATTAATCACATGCGTGTGTGTGTGTGTGTGTGTGTGTGTGTGTGTGTGTGTGTGTGTGTGTGTAGGGCTCTTCCATCTCTCAAGTGATGAGGGTACAGGAAGGCTCTACATGCCAAACACATTTATGCCTTTTAACTGTCTTATCCCACAGAACAGAACATCTTCTAGGTTCATTCATGTTGTAGTGTGTATTCAATTTTCTTCCATTAAGGTAAAATAACATTCCATTACACGTATATACCACAGTTTCTTTATTCATCCATCTACTTTTGGATGTTTGAATTCCTCCCACCTTCTGTCTTGGGAGGGATTGGGAAGGATCAACCCGGAAATAGGAGGTTTACCCATTTCTATAAAATTACAATTATATATATAAACCCCAAATCAGCAAATCTCAGTTCTGGGAACTAATCACATGGATACATCGATGCAAAGGCATAAAAATAATAATCACTGCAAGCCTAGTAGCTGGAGCATTAATTGTAAAGAGACTGGTAGCAAAGAAAACTTGTGTAAGTGATTTGTTAACCTATGATTCCTCTACAGCGAAGTATCACACAG